TCCCTCCACCCCCTCCCCTTCCTCCACTCTATGCTTTAAAGCTATTGAATTTTCTACGCTTTTGCCCCCTCGGCATCCCATAAGATGTCTCGGTATCAGTAATTGGTTTTTTGACGTCTACCTAAGCGTTTCTGCCGATATTATCAAATTATTATCATTTCAGAGCGAACCTCGTCTTGTTATCAGCGGCGCATCGAATGGAGGTGTTCGTGTATGGGACGTAAGCACAGGGGAGTGTTTACAACACTTAAGAGGCCACACATGTTCAGTGATAGCCATATCATGCACTCAGTACAACATAGTCAGTGTCAGTATAGATAACTCGATGTGTATATGGGACAGACATAAAGGCAAATGCATCCACTATAAGCTACGCCAGGTATGGTATTAAACATGTAATAACATCTGTAGCTACGCCTTCACATGGCTAGAATGACCAAGTAAAATGGCGGTCCCATCTCTCAACACGAATTGACCTTCCATCGGACAGACGTATACACCCTTTACTAATGATTTCTTAATTAATAGGTTGATTTTGGGATGGGTGTGAAGATTTTAAAGTGGTTGATAATTGGTTGCAATGTGCCTCGAAGGGAACTTTGTGTAGCACCACCCTGCAGAAAAAATATATTAAAAAAGAGGAAAGAAATACAGTGATTGATCATGGGTCATGGGTAATAGATGTTACTTTAAGAAATGGTTTTTAGTGTTCACACTTTTTAGTGTCACCCTCTAAAAAATAAATAATATTTGTATATTTGTCTCTAGTTTCCAGACTTGTGTTCGAATGTGTCCATGATGTCAAACAATCTGTTCGTCACTGGCGGCCAGGTATGTGYGATATTAGATTTGACCCAACAAGCCCAATAATATTGGGCAAAACGCTGGTGATAAAAAAAGTTCTGGGGCCCTAACAAATATACAAACAATACTTTGCAAACCGATTGTTTGTGTAAAAAATCTTCATGAATRCCATGTTTAGTGTAGTGTATGAAGTTATAGGTCATGCGACATTGTTAGGCGTCAACGGATCGTAACAAGCGTATATTCCTAATACAAAGCCGTTTTATTTTCTAGGGCTGCATCGTTGTCTGGGATCTTGTAGCCGGCAGGCAGGTTAAAAGTATACCTCTTGACAACGGGGACTCCTCAGTACTCGTTCGTCACGTGACTGTATGCGACACGGCAACGGTCGTCTGCGATTACGGTAAAGAACTCCGCGTCATTGCGTTTCCATCAGTAATGAACAAAGCAGAATAAATCCTCTCTGCTTTGTTAAATACGTCAGAGGTTCGAAGGATCTAAGTAAAAGTGAGTTCAGTAGCACTTGGAATTAACCCCCAGACTCCACGACATRAAATTTGGAGGGGAAACTGGAAATCAAGGATGACTGAAGTTCAAAGGAAAAATGGAGCCTAATTTTTAAKGTGGAAAATGTTTGTGAGGAACTGGTGACTATCTAGGTCGTTGATGTATGGCTTACTGCAAGGGATACTAGTGATAGTCGCTTGATGAAGAGATAAAGGATGTAGCCCAGATTCAAAACGAGATGCAAGAGAAACTGGTGTTGTGTCTGAAAGAAAGTAGTTCGAGTGATGAAGTACTCGCTGGAAATTGTAACTCATTGGCACTAGTTTCATCTATTTCATCTGATTGGAAATTTGCTCGTATTTGTCAAGTACCAATCAGAATGTCGTAAAAAGAAGCAAAACTTTAGACAAATGATACGAGCATATGCCGACCCAAAAAAGGCRGGAAATGACAACTTCCGGTAGTGGTACACGCGACCAACCGAAAAATTGGCGGGAAATATTGACTTCCGTTGAATGGCACCCGCGATGAATCCAAATTTCTGGGTTTTCCGTGTAAATGGTGCTTCCTTGGATTTCATAGTAAAGGTGAAAAAACTTGAAACGCTGTCAAGGTTCCCAGAGTAGAACGTATGTAGAATCCTTGACTTTTACGTGGAATGAGAATCAATTGTATCTAGAACTGTGAAATAGAATAGTCAAGGGAAGTTTCAAGGATTTAATAACGACAAAGATTTAAAAGCATCTTTGGAATAAAGCCTGATGATTGCTATGATATTATTGGTTTGATGTTATTATTTAATTTTTTACTGAAATACTTCATGGAGGAGTAACTGGACWAGATTTTACTAGCGAATAATTACAAAGTTTCAAATTTCTAATTGCGAATTAGGCTTAAAAGACAAAAAATAGTGAACTGTAATAATCACTGCAAATATGATAGGACCAAATATATTTTTATATTAAATGTAAACTAGCCACGGCATTTATATATTATAAATAATAACATTGTCTGTCTTGGTAATAGTAATAAACGTGAGAACGACTCTCATCATCTGAAATAGAAATTTCTTTTTCTCTTTCTTCCTTGGACTTTTTTTTTTTTTTTTTTTTTTTTTTTTTTTTTTTTTTTTTTTTTTTTCATCCTTCATTCCTTGTTTTCTTTCTCTCTTTTTTCCTCCTTTTCGTGACATTTTTGACAAGATTCATCATTACTTTGACTCACTATTGTCCCTTTTCTCACTTCGTAAATACCGCTGTGTACATACCTACTTTATTTACAAACATAAGGTCAGGTTATCATAAAATGGAGGCTARTAGCTGATGTGGACCTCCAATCTACATTACTTATAAAATCTAAAAATATAACAAAACCCAACCCTAAAATATAAGTGAATATATAGAAGAAGAAAAAAAAACAAAAAAAATTTTAAAAAAGCTAAAAAATCATGTAATATCGATATATCTATAATTATGAAAATTATGAAATTACTGTGCAAGGCACTGCACTATGGCCAAAAACACCTCGCAGCTCAAGAACAAAAACAGCGAAAGGATTCTTCGCACAGAGCACAGCACAGCAACAACAATATTTAACAATATTTAAAATTGTCTGTTTTCTAAAGACTCATCTGTACACGGTTAGCCTAAGAGTAAATCATTTTCAAAAGTCAACTGTTTTTAAATCCAACAGACTTTTAATGGTATGTGTGAATAGCTTGCCTATAAACGAGGCTAAACCTGTTCAAATGAGTGTGGTCTTCAGGAACAGCGGTATGCATCGAATGCGAACCTGGTGTATCCTCCGCCGGTTTGCACATGACGTCCTAGCCGCCCCCCTTGGTTGAATTTAACACAAGACTTTTTAATACGAAATATCAAACAACATGACCATGACCTTTACGGCTGATGTATATTTCGTTCCATTGGGAATGATTGAAAACCAGCCCGCTTGTTGGCTCATAGTCGTTTTTTCGTGAGTTTTTAGACGTACATTGTATTTTTGTACAATTGACTCTTGAGATGAAATTAGTTTTGAATGATAACGCTCGATCGGCGTTTCTTTGGCAGCGCTAAACAAATATTGTTTATTCACAGGCAGGTTACACCAACAGACCTTGTTTTATATATATTAGTTATGTAAATAGAAATATTGCAACCAATGGCACCAAATAGAACATGGTCATTRTCACTCTTCACTGAAGGGCCGTCACCACAAAGTCACTTCTCTTTACATTTTGTCTAGATATATTAATCTTAAGTCAAACAGAAAACTTTGGTCTTATTAGTTTTTAAAAAGCGTTACCATGGCTTAGCATGCACCATACTAGAACGCAATTTCCCTGCTAGCAGGGAAGAACGCAATAGATTTGACTTCATATGAAACTGTATTTTTAGTATTTTCATCTTATTCTGTTCWGAGAGCAAGGCCACACGTCAGCCATAAAAGAAATTCAATCCAAATATAAATCAAATTATTTCATTACTTATTACATCTCCTAGGACTGTCTAGATTAGCTCCAATAGTTATTACAGTCAGWCTATACCCTGAAAAGACGTTTCTAATTATATCTTGTAAATGTTCTTGTCATTTAATTCTACAAAGAACGTGCGTGATATGGAAAAACACCGTGCCTGATATGATRACGTAWCAGCACTTCTCATCTGCTCGCGCTGTGTACGATAGGGTTTAGAGAGAGCTTGAGCATTTCTTTGCAGAATTAAATGAGAAACAACTCATCAGTAGGCTAAGCATCTGATACGCGGCTTTGGCTTCTTACTTGTCACTTGTAGTTTTTGCTCGCCTAAAGGCTYGCTAAAATACTTGACTCGTAAAAATACACAGCCACGGAGCATACCTTTGCCGACTAATTACTTCTAGGTACTAAAYAAGATTAAACATTGTCACGTTTTGTCCATTGCTTAAAAAAATAAGAGAATCAACAAGCTTTAYCTGAAGTGTTATTGAGTCTAAGCTATTCTGTTATCGTAAAAAACGAACACACAAACAAACAAAAAAAAGAAAGGATGAATACCGAACCGAGAGGTAGGAAAATAAGAATAAATGGAATAATATGCATAATTCAACAAACCGGAATGGATAGAATAGTGACTAAATCTAAATGAAGTTGAATAGAATTAATTAAAGCAAAAGAAAATAAACTACTATCATATTTTTTTCTTAGTTGAACTGAATAAAAACACTAACTGAACAAACAAACGAATGGAACCGCGTAAGAACGTAGACGCGGTTTGGATTTCTCATTCACAAGTGAATCCTTTCAGGTGTTTTGGTTCACATGTCTTCCCTGGCTGCTAGATTATTTACTTTGAGCAAACAGTTATCTCCTCTATCCTGCCGGAGCTTTCAAAACCAAATGCAGTGGTTTTGTCGTGATCTGTGGTGATAAAATAATACTATATATATATAATTGAAAGACAGTGCAAGATAGAAAAGCGCGCGACTCTCATGAGGGGGACTTTTACTTCACCAAGTGCTGCCAAGGTTACAGATCCATTAATTTAGTTGTGTTATGAGAGAGAAAATTAATGTTTTTACAGACTAAGCTAGACATCAGTTTTTTAATTACTATTTCTTATCGTATGAAAACAAGATAAAGAACGATCAATTAGTTATTGAAAATATCGATATAAGATTTCAGCAAGGCTGCCATCACGCACGAGTTTAGATGATGGTATGCTTTGAATTTACAAGTAAACTACTTAGCTCCTCCCATTAGCATGTACACCTATGGTTAC